TCTCACACCTCCCCCTCCTGCCTGCACTGTGGCCATATTCTTGTATGCATAAATAAATGAATCTTTAAAAACAAAACAAAACAAAACTTAAACCACTGTCTTAGAAGAGAAAAACCCTCCATAAATAAAGCATGGAATTTTGTGGATTTTAATAACTCAATACTATTATTCTAGACAATATGTTCTTCTCTTTGTTATCTACTATATCACATTCCAATCTCTTTTATGCATGTCAATTTTGACAATTATGAATAAAGACTTAATAATCATTATAAAGCCTGTGTTCCAGAAAAAGACATTTTTAACCACCATTGCTAGTTACTCCTCTATAATATCCATTCTGAGTAAACGGATTTGTCATCATTTTGTTTGATGAATACTATAAAAAAGGATTCACTGACAACCTTCAACAACAACTGATCCATCTACTTGATCCCCAGAGTAATAATTATGTTTTCTGGCACTTGTATATATTGTGTTCCATGATGTTCCAAGAAAAAAAAAAATCTGTAAGCATCAGCCAATGAATCAATAAGTATGGAAACCTAAACTATATACTGGATGGTTCTAAAATGTATGGCACTTCAAACAATACATAACAATTAAATTGCCCTGCTATCAATAGAAGATATTGCATCTAAGGACTGAGAACTAACACAGCTGACTCATTTAAGAAATAGTCTTAGTAGGGGATTTAGTAAAGTCGTTATACAAATATTTTACAAAATACTACTTCTAACCGATTGAGGAATAGCAGTAATTTGTTTTCTGAGCCTTTAAATTAAATGGAGTCATAGTAAAGCTTTTGGGTCTTAGTATTTATAGCCCATCACGAAAGACAAACTAGAAGAGCTAAAAATGATTTTCTGAAATATTAAAATATACTTGCGCTAGAACATGTTTTGTTTCAGTGCGTTGTTAACATCTTGGAGATCAATTTCATTTGAGAGATTTGATTGCAGTTTTTCCAATATGATTCAGGGGTAGAAGACTAGCTAGGGGTGGTGGGGAGTTAATGAGCTCATCCTCCATCAAGTCACTCTATTTTCTATGACTGCACAAGATGTTGTGGAGAAATTATCTGCTACTGATCTTTTTCTTTTCTTCTCTTTCCCGAGTGGGAGAGACGAATAGGGGCAAGCCAGCATTCCGGAGCCTTTCTCCCAGAGAACGCGAGCGCCCTCTATGTAGCATGTGTAAATGGTGTGATGACGCCACTCTGGCCCCTTGGCCAAGAGAGAATAGTAACTGGGAAGGCGCCGGATTCCTCCCGGTGGAAGGGATATCTGGACCAAATAAAAGAGGCTGGCGACGGGAAGGAAGGACAGAGCGAGCGTTTGAATAGCGGCCGCCGGGCAACCCAACGCCTGTGCGGCGCGCGTCACAAGTCCCCCGCCTACCTCCCCCGACCCTCTACACCCGCTGCCCCGTGTCACCTTCCTGTTCGGAAGTCTTAGTAGGTTGCTGGGACAGAACTGGGGGCGCCTGTTCCACCCATCAGGTATCCGGTTGGAAGAAAACCCAGTCTCAACAACTTGATTCTCTGTGTAAATGATAAGTTGAGTAGACCCTCCGTCTCCAACTGCTTAGCATTAGGGTAAAGGGAGGCGGGAGTCTTCAGATGTCCTTTTTCTGGTCCAACCACAAATCTTATGGTAGTGCCTCTTTACTAGTCTCCTTAGAGCCCTCTAACTTAAATTCCACGTTCCTCCTGGAATGCATGTGGCCGAGCTTCTTTAAGAAAATAAACTCTGTGCATGTGTTTTGAATTTTTTCTGGACTGATTTGTGATGATAATCAGTCAAGTTACATTTCTTGTGTGTCTTGCTGGGGTGTAATAAACCGAGGACGCTGATGACTGTAATTTTCTGGATGATGTTGCAATGGAAGGATAAACGGCCCAGTGTTGAACTTTGCAGCTTGCTCCCTTCCTGTATGTAAATTGCCTTTATATAGAGTGGGGTTCTGAGCTGGGTTGGCCACCTCTGGCTTGTCATCTCAGCTTCCAGTCTTATCAGTCACATAGCAAGGAGGCTTCTCCAGCTATCAGAGCTCTGCCTCCAGCCTCCAGAAAGTATTCCCCAGCCTTCATTTCCTAGGCGAACTGAAGAATGAAAGAGGAGGCTATAAAATCCCCCTTGAAAGGTTTGTTTGCTTTCATTACTAAAATTTGGATAGAATGGGTAAATCAAAGATGCTTCAAAGAACTGGGAGTTACTTGACAAGGAGAGGGTACAAGAGTTGGGTTGGAGGTGAGGGTCTCTGATGGAAAATATCTTCATTTATTGTTTTTAATGCAAAGCCACAAAAAATCTTGGTGTGCATTGGTGTTTCTGAACAGTTTTTATAAAATTCGTTGTAGAAAGGGGAAGGAAACACGTGAGAGCTGGCCCTGGTAAAAAGCTAGTTGCAACTGCGAGTTGGGGGAGGGGGTCTGGCAAGAACAAAGTCATATTCTATGAAGAATACGTGGGCCGGTGACTGTGATATGGTGTCAGACAGGGCTGGTTACTGTGACTTAGAGTTTCCTAAACCTTACTTTCGATTGAAGCATCAATTTCAGGCAATCCTTAAGTATTGTTTTAAGCGGATGCTGAGCAAAATCTCCCAGCCAGTCTCTCTTCGAGAGGATGTGTGTTTGGGCTGTTGTAACTAAGCAAACCAAGAAGCAGTTGAGGCTACAGATCACATTAGGGCAAATGAGGTGGTTGTGCCTGCAAAACAAATCCTTACCCTAGACTAAAGAAAAACCGCTTCCCCGAGCTATTCTTGGTTTGACAGCTGGTATTTCGGAGTGTCAGACGCACTAGGTAACTCCAAAATGGCATGGCCCCTGGCAGCAAGGGGTCACGACAGGGTATCGACCGTAGACAACGCCAGCAAGCGCCAGATAGCCAGCCCTGCAAATCTCTGTTACTTGCAGCAGTCTCTCCTTAGTCGCTGCGCTTGCGGCTTCCCAGCCAGCGCTGGCCGGATTCCTAGCGCCCGCGGTCAGACTGCAGCTCCCTGCGGCGGGGGTGAGAGGATGCATCCACCGCGCCGCTGCTCGGCAGGACTTGGCTCCCTCCCCTGCTGGCTGGAACAGAAGCGCGAGTTAATCTTTCAGGAGTTAACAAGGCAGTTTTTCTGCCTGAGACCAAGAGCTAGGTGATGAACTTTACAAGAAAACGCCTGGGTCACCCCTGAAGTAAACCGGGGGAAGGGTAGGGAAGAGTAGGAGAAACTAAGGTATTTTAAAATACTGTAATGTGACCAGGCATAGTGTTGAGGTCGGAGAGCATGGTAGGGAATCTGGAGCCGCGGTGGGCTAATTGCGGACCCCGCGCCGCCCTCTCCGCCCCGGGGTCACGCCAGGTCAGCCCCCTGCAGCAGCCACCGCGCTGCTAACTCGCTACTTCTTCACGTGTTCTTGGCATGACGGGGATTAAAAATGCAAAGGAAAAACTACACGCGGAACGGACAGAATGTTCTCAGAGATTAATTACTTCGAAGGAAAAAAGTAAAATGCAGATTGTAGCTTTTTTCCCTTTAACGCAGAGACCAACTTTATTTCCGCCCCTTCCCCTACACATTCCTGACCTCTCCCTCCCCCTTCTCTCTTTCTTTCCTTCCTTCCTCCTCTTCCAAGTTCTGGGGTTTTTCAGCCTTGCTTGACTTTGGCCAAAAGCACAAAAAAGGCGTTTTCGGAAGCGGCTCGGCTGTGCACAAGGGCCATTTGTTTGTTTTGGGACTAGGGGCAGGAAATCTTGCCCGGCCTGAGTCACGGCGGCTCCTTCAAGGAAACGTCAGTGTTCTCTTGTCGCCCTCGCCCGCCGCGCGCCCCGCCGACCGCTGCCCATGGGGGAGATGCAGGGAGCGCTGACCCGGGCGCGGCTGGAGTCCCTACTCCGGCCCCGCCACAAAAAGAGGGTCGAGGCGCAGAAACGCAGCGAGTCTTTCCTGCTGACCGGACTAGGTAAGCGCCGGCCGCTCGCGGGGAACTTGTCTCACTGCCCCCACTAGTTGCTCGGCTCGGGAGCGAGGGTGTTTGCCCTTGTTCCGAAGGTGGAGGAGCTGAGGCTGGGGCGAGTGGGCGTCGGGAGCTCGGAGATCCGCGGGGAGCCCTGGCCCCAAGCTAATCCTGAAGATAAGGGGGCCGCCGTGCGCCGGAGAGATAACCCCAGCGGGTTGTGTGCCGCCGCCGGGCCGGAGCCGAGGAGGCTGTGGTGTGACTTAGGGGACTCGGTCGGTGCCCGCGCTTCTTGTGAATTCGAAGTGTGGGTACAAAGCCACCCGCCGCGCGCAGGAGGGGGGCCTCCGGGCCGCGACACTGTTTTCTTTGCCCTTTAGAATATATGAGAAAGGTGGAAAATTACCCCGGACTCGCTCTCCCTTCCTGCCCCCTCCGCCAGCGCCTTCCCTCTCTCGGGCGGGAGAGCCCAGGGAGGCTGGCAACAGCCCCGCGCCGGGCCTCCCC